GGTTCATGTCAACATAGTGCCTTCTTCTTCTTCTTTTTTTTTTAACCGCTGTACCTAGCCCCTTTATCGAGTGTGGAGTCTTTTTTGTGCGGCTGCTCCGAGCACTTTGATTTAAGAGTATTTCAAGTTTTAAAAAATGGCCGGTGACGTAACTGGAAATTAAAGGAGAAGCTTGTTTTTGGAAAAAAAAGTACGTCTGTCAACAGCATTGATATGTGGTTGACATATTTCAATATAAACAATAAAAAACCTGGGAAATTGTTTAATATTTTTTTTATTAAATACTGGGAGGAGACTCCTCACACCGCCTTGCCATAAAAAGGCTCTATGTGGACACAGGCCCTAAGAGAAGCTCTGTTGCATCTCATCCATGTCTGTGAGTTTGTCAACCCTCTCCACCTCTGATTCTTCATCCTATTGTGTTTTTGATGCTTCCCCTCTCCAGGCCCTTTACCACAGTTGGGTGCAGGGAGCCTGTAGGAACATCCTGGCCATCCTGGAGGACATGCCGTCTTTGAGGCCTCCCGTTGACCACCTGTGTGAGCTGCTGCCTCGTCTCCAGGCTCGCTACTATTCCATCGCATCTTCCTCAAAGGTAACTTCCTGTTTGGATCGCGGTTTCAGAACTGTTTAACACTTCATTACTGACATGGTTACCTGCAGCAACAATGCTGTTCATATCAGAGAATTGCAGTAGGCAATGAAAGTTTCTTGATACAGCCCATTTCAAAAGCAAAGTAATTCGGTGTGCGTTATATGCATTAAGATATAATGAAAGAGGTGACATACTATAAATACTTTTAGAAACAGTCATTAAAGAAGCCTGGACAATATCAAACAAGACAAGCTAAACTAGAATAAGACAGAAATAAAAAAACAGAAGACATGTTACAGTGCAGTGTCAAATATGAATAGTTGAATTTCATAGAAGGCGGTGGCAAATAGCAAAGTCTTCAGCCTTAAATATAAAAGCAGTGAGAGTTGCAGCAGACCTGCAGGTTTCTGGTAGTTTGTTCCAGATGAATGGAGCACAATAACTGAACGCTGCTTCAACTTGTTTAGTTTTGACTCTGGGGACAGATGGCATACTGATTCAAGATGACGTGAGAGTTACGAAGAATGATGTAGCAGAATATCAGAACTGTTTTTTCGCCCTGAACCATTCAGTGCTTTAAAGTATATTGGTAACTCTCTCCTGTTCTGCAGGTTCACCCCGACCGCATCAGCATCTGTGCGGTGGTGGTGGAGTACGAGACCCCGACGGGCCGCACTAACAAGGGAGTCGCCACCAACTGGCTGAAGAACAAACTGGCCACAGACAACGGACACAAGTCCACTGTTCCCATGTTCATCCGCAAGTCTCAGTTCCGCCTTCCCTTCAAAGCCACCAACCCCGTGATCATGATCGGCCCTGGGACAGGCATCGCTCCCTTCATGGGATTCATCCAGGAGAGAGGCTGGCTCAAAGAACAAGGTGTTTATAGATACTTTTGACAAAGAAGGAACACAATAAATTACACAGATGTAATCAAATATGTGTGTCACCACACTGCCCACAGCAAAACACATTTTTTAAAGCATTGAAGGGTTAATGGGTACAGGCAGTCAGTGCTTTAATGAACTTAGTTCAGTTATTAGCCTGCTTCCTGTTACTCTGAAGACAGACCTGTTTGTTAGTTCAGTAGGAATTGTCATTTGTAAAACAGACTCGATCAGTTAAACTTTTTTTTAAACTTATTAGAGGAGCTGAATGAAATATCTGAATCTGAAAAATAACCATTGTTTTTTTGTTTCCTTTTAGGAAAGGAGGTTGGAGAAACTGTGTTGTATTTCGGCTGCAGATATAAGAACGAGGATTATATCTACCAGGAGGAGCTGGAGGCAGCGGAGAAGAAAGGAGTTCTAACGCAGCTCAACATCGCCTTCTCCAGAGACCAGGAGCAGAAGGTAGGACTGCTCTTAGTGTCTTTAGAGCCGAACTTCATGTTGTGTTATTCATTAATATTGGTAATTGTTTACTTAACATTAGTTAAATATCTTTGGGACATGCATGGCCCAATGCAAAGCCTGCAGCAAATTGATAAGAACTTGATCTCTAACTCAATTACGTTGTGTATGGTCCTTGCATTTGAGGGAATTGGGCCTGGAAAGTCATTGACAATTCTTTGAATGTGATGTTTCAGAATCTTTTGCAAATACACATATGATGCACATTCTGAACAACGTTTCCTCTTTCCATTTTCAAAAATAAAGGTGTACGTGCAGCATCTCCTGAAGAATAGTAAGGAGCATCTCTGGAAGCTGATTCACTCAGACAACGCTCATATCTACGTCTGCGGGTAATTAACACATTTGAACAGCAAAACATTTTCATTTAATGTATTATAATAAAAGATCGAACTTTCATATACTGCATTTAGTTGTCGAATATTGGAACACTTGAAGTGATGTGGATGTTTATTTGTGATCATTTGATTCAAAGGAATTGGGAACGTACACTGGGGAGGAAATGCTTGCTTGATAATGGAACCCCGCTTTATCTTTGGTGCTTTGGCACCGCCTAGTGCAGGGGTATTCAACTAAAATTCAACGAGGTCCAGTTAGAGAAAATCTCCCCATGCAAAGGTCCGGAACATCAAAATGTCTAACTTGCTTTATGAATTAGTCTGATATATATTGAAGTAGCCTGTAGCTTTATCAACGTCTGCATGTAATCAACAGCTGACTGCCAATCAAAGAAAGAAAGTACAATTCAAAAACAACAATATTTGTTGTCAATTAACATTGACCTATACAGATATACAGTAAATACTGTGGATATGTGTGTACCTCTCGGGCTGCAAGAAAATAAATAAAATAGCTTTTGAAAATGTGTGGATGTTAAAAGTGCTTAATTTTTGATAAATAAAATAAATTGTGTAGCAGCAGCTTGAGTTTCTCTTTCTCTTTGTTAACCGTGTCACATCATGACTTAACAGTTTCAGACGATTATAGAACAATATCAGTCTTTATACATCATAACAATTGAACAGTTTCTCTTTCTTTCCCTCTTATATTGCAGCCCTCACTCTTTTTTTTTTGTTCAGTGCGAGAATTGAGTTTGAGCTTGTCCTGCCAAGAGTTTAGATCTGGGCTGAAATGGTGTCAGGGCCATTCTCATACACATGCAGGTGCTCATTGGTTAGCCTGGAACGACATTTAGTTTGAATTTTGATCCTGGTGGATCAGAGGCGTGGGAAGGTATTTTGAGTGGGGGTGCTGAGGTGCTGTCCGATGTGGTAATTACGCAAGGGGGGTGACGTTGACATAAACCGAGCAAAACCACACACACAGTGCATAACAACGGACTCCAGTGCACGCTATTACGGGCACTATATAATAGAGCACGCACAAAAGCGCGATCACACACACACACACACACGCACGCACGCACGCATAGGCTATCAAGGCATTGCTAATTCCTGGCTACATATTACACAGATTCTGCGTAATAATGCCCTGCCCCTGCATCCTTTATTTCAATCTTTTTAGCAGATTTAGCGTTTTTAGTGAGAAAGAATTCCGAGATACGTGTTTGTGCCGTATCAGTTACTTGTCACGTGTGTCACGTTAAAAGTTGCCGACTAAAAACTAACAAAAAACTTTTTTTCCACATCTTTTTTCTTTTTCTTCCCTGAAGCTAAATAATTGATTATTTAGTTTTTAATAATAATATATAATACAAAAATATATTTCAGGCAGGGGCGCACTGGCCATTGGGAATACCGGGAGTCTTCCCGGTGGGCCGTTACCGAAGTGGGCCGGTCGGACAATTCACCGCTCTCTCCTCTCCGCTTCTCTCGTCTCTCTCTTCTTCTGTGTTTCTCTCCCTGTATCGCTCACTCGTCTCTTTCTCGGCAGCGGTTAAAATAGAATCGCCTTGTCAAAATGTAAATCCCCTATTAATGTATTGATTATAGGTCCGGGTCCGTATAGGTTGGCGTCTGGGTCCGGACCGCGGTCCGCCTGTTACTGAACTATGGCCTAGTGGAATAATAAGAATTGTTTTTAATTGCCAGCATTTAGGAATCAAAAGAAAAGGACGTCCACCAAGTTGTAGATGCACTGTTGCCGGCTGATAATTACTTTTTTGATTCAAGTGCTAAATACTCCAGTAAATGGAAACAGTATGATCTTTTTTTTTTACAAAAACAGATACAAGTAAAGGGAAAAATCCTACAATAGATGGATTAGCAATATGAAAAAGTAACACCAGAACACCCCTAAAGAGGACTTTAATCTGACGTGATCTTTCTCCTGATCTAGGGACGCGAAGAACATGGCTAAGGATGTGCAGACGGCCCTCCAGGACATCGCGGAGGAGCTGGGAAGCATGACGCGCACACAGGCCACAGATTACGTCAAGAAACTGATGACCAAGGGACGCTACTCACAGGATGTCTGGACTTAAAGAGCCTCAGACTCACTGCTCGAGTGGTTTTAAATGTTCTATTTTTATTGTGTGTCTCGTTTTATCATGACTAAATATAAAACCATTAAAGAACTGTTCATCTCCCTAGTCAAGGGAGCAACAGTAGCACATGATTGTGAGGCAAACACTACCTCAGCAGGTTTAGTTGATAAACACATTCAGCAGTTTGATCTGTATTTCATAAGTATACTACATTATGTATCTGGGACGCAGCCTGTTTTAGGAGACAAATCTATGGTCTGATTTAAGATCCTCTATACATGACTCGATTTGTGTGATTGGCTGTTATCAAACATTATGGACATGCAGCTCTGAATGTACATGATATAAGTCCACTGTGAACATGGAAATATTTCAATCGGAAACATAGAAGGTCCTTCAGTTTGCCATATATTAACTTTAATCTAACTGTTATAACTCCTCAACTGGTAATATTGGATTATATGTGAACATTTGGAGCGTTGTCTGTTCCTGTTGCAAAGAGAGAAAAGGGACGCTTTATACATGATAGGGTGCTTACTTCAGCTTCTCTCAGAGCTCGTCCTGTAGTACTTCGGAAATAACTTTAAATATAATAAATGTTTTTGAACATATATGAAAATTTGGTAAGTAAACTTGTTGATATAACAAACTAGCCTCATTGGTACAATTATGCTAAGTATGCCATTATCTTTGGAAGAGATTGTGCCTGATATGCAAACATTGCTGTTGGAGAGGTACAAAAAGTGATGCAAATGAAAAGATCATTTATAGAAAAATGCACGTCAGCATGTGCAACTTATTTTCCATAAAAGCAGGTCTTTAAAAGTAATGAAAAATGAACTGTAGGCTCCCTGTAATATTTGTAAAATGTTAATTTGAAATGTCTTGGAAATCATATCTGGCCTCCCAAATGGTGGTTGTTTGCGAGGTGTGAAATGTTAATTTTGTCTTATCACATTATGCACCACTACATGGAGAAAATGACCGAGAAATATCAGGACAGTTCATGCATCTCCCAGATTCTGTCAGCCGGTGCTCATCGCAATCTTTTTGTGTGAATAAAAGGAGTTTGAAGATGTCAGCGGACCATTTGAAGTGCAGCCTGTGCCTTTTTTACACTGCCTTATAAGTTAGCATATAAAACCCTGACGCTGTACTAACTCGATAACGTGTCTTCGTCTATGCTTTCATCGTGGTAGAAAGTCACTTTAGCCAGTACTGTGACTTATTTGTCTTTCCACTTTATGATGTAATTATTTGATATTTTCAAGGCATGCATTTTTTTAATGAATAAAATTGGAATAATTTATTGGCTTTTTTGTGATTAAATAAGGTTGAACTTTATGATTGCATAATTCTTCTACAATCTTATTTACTTTGACATTTTATCTCAACCATCTTTCCTCCATGTTATAAGACATGAGGTTTCAGATCCATCATTCTAATACTCATGAGGCGGTAATGTTGAGAGATTGAATCAAACAGAGCTTCAGTGTTTGTTTTAATTGTGTTGTAATCATGAGTGACCTTACCGTCAGCAGCCTGTTCCCAGAAGCCAGCGTAATGACGTATGAGTGCATGTGATCTGAACTAAATCTGTTATGATGACTGGCATGATAAAGCCGGTTGTTAGATCAAATAGTTTTCATAAAGCTTTACTTTTTTAGATTTTTTAAAAATAGTTTATTTAATGAAGCACATGAAAAGGGCAAATCATGTCAGTTAAAAAAACAAAACAGTTACAAATCAAAAACAAAACTCAATCAAATGACTGTGCATCCCAATGGATTAAAGAAAAACGAGAATTTCTGTGTTTTAAAGATGTCAACACACTTTTTCAAACCCACAAAAGTAAAACGGTAGAGAACCCCAACAAAAGAGGTTGAGAGTCATGCAGTAAGGGTACAGGAGAAAGTTAGACATTGTTAATCATGCATTAAAACGAAGAAATTACAAATAATTTAATAATATTTCAAGTTAACTAAAACAAATGTAATGCTTTTTAGATTGTGATAGGCTATGACTTTTTCTAGACATAAGCACACATCAAGTACAATTATCTGATCATCTTGCCTTTAAGATACAGTACATAATATTAATGCATTCATTATTTAACAATGTTAATAGTGGGCTAGACTTGCATAAACAAGATGATCCTTTAGTTTTTAGGGATAGAAAAAAGTGAATATCAATTCAGCATATTCTTATATACACACGTATATGTGTACACACATAATTCAGGTTTCAAGGAAGGATTAAAAAGGTAATTTCCAGGGCAAAAAGGAAATACAATACGGAATCAATGAAAAGCTAAAGGAAAACAATACAAATAAAAAAGGGAAATAAAGTAGAATATTATATTGTTATAAAAAAAGGGACAATAAGAAAAATAGTAAGACAAATTCAACTATTGACACATGTTGAACTGATATCTCCCGATGTAAGACAGCAGGTGGCGGCCTTGTGAATTCTCGTTGAATAGGAGCAGTGTTTCCAACAGGAAGAAGAAGAGCAGCATTAAGGGAACTGTCGCAGAGTGATCGGCTCAATTCTGTGGCGCTGCGTACATTCAACCAGCGTTTTTATCAGCTAATCAGAAGAAACACACTTCATTGTATTTTAACTATATATACAACGTCACAGAATGGCCACTGGTAAGCCAACATGTCCTTTGTCTGTTTATCATTGTTTGCATTGTTTTTTTGTATAAACTAGGCTAATAAAAAGTCAAACGAATAGCATAGGAGCTACATTAGCAGTTAACCTCGAGGCCATGGAGGGCTCCGTCTATCTCCTGGAACATCTTTCAATAACAGAACAAAGTTAGCTTTGCCGTGTGTTTGACTACATTTGTTTCCACAAGGGGGTTAACTCCCGTATGACACTTGGTTGCACTCCTTTAAACCCCCATGAATGTGCCAACAATCTATAATATGTGTGAACCGCAGAGTGAAAAGGGCCTAGTCGTAGTTAGCTTGAGGTGCTAGCATGAACGCGTCTTTGTTTATATCAATGCTTATATTTTCCTGCCAAACGAGACACGAAACGTACACACATCTAGTTTAAAGATACTTTGGCAATATTTGCATTTAATATGGGTTGATGTAAAGATAATCATACCGGGTATGGACAGCATGTGTGCACATTTCGTAGTTTGTCTCGTTTCAAGAGTTAGCCTAAAGCGAATTGACCGCCATTTTTGGTGGGTTGGCGTGGGTACGGGCCTTCGGTTGCCCTATTTTCTGCCATCAAGCTAGCAGTGCATATAGTCACTTTGTTATTTTTGCAAGATTCAACCCTGTTTTGTTTCTCTTTCAGATTCAGGCTACGGTGGCTCACAGAGGTAGTGGCAATATATTATTTTATTTCACTATACCCTATTCCTTACCTATATTTTGTGTTACAATTGTGGTTAAAACAGTTTTTGGATAGCTTTTTATAACAGTACTATGGTTAGCTCCTTTCTTCATCAACATGTTTTTCTTTGTGTTTTTGTATGCACCATTTTACTCCAAAGCAAATTCCTTGTATGTTTAAACCTTTTTGGTCATTAAACCATTTCTGATTATTTGTATGTTGGTGTTGCAGCAGCACAACAATATAAATAATTATACATGAGCTTCAGATAACTATATAGTAACATAAATAAATCATAGTAGGCCCATAAACCAAATTGAACACAAGTTATGCAGGAGCAATTGGAGATAAATTATGGTAGTGTTTAAAGGGAATATATTTGGTATATATTGAACTCCTGATTATCTAAATGTAATGGTTTGCTCTATAAAAGGTCTGAGATACTTGATGAGACACTTTTTCTAAGCCCAATGTGTTAAATGTCTTGTTTTGTCAGTTTAACACCTTTTTAATATTGTAATTTACGCTAACATAAAATGGTGACAAAGAGAAATTCATTATTGAATTAGTTATTTTTGAATGATCTGCTAATGAAGTTGCATCTAGTATGAACACAGGACATCAGGGTTCAAATAAATGATGTACTCAAGACTTTTTATGACGTCCAAGGAGTGTTTGTGGCATATTTAGTCATTTAAAGCAACACATTCCTCAGTGTGTTATATTAAAAAAAGAAATGGGCTGCACAATGTGTTGTCACATGACACTGACCTAGTTAGTGGTATGAGGGACCCATAGGCTATTTTAGCCTTCTACTCTCCTTGTGTTAAGATGATGTTCCTTTCCTACCAGAGTAAATAGCATCTAAACTATGAGACAGAGATTAAATGCAGCAGAGAGGCCAATGCTTAGGCTGTCAACGCAGCATGCACTGAATAATGTATTGTTTATTCAAATAAATGTAAGCATTGATTGGACCTCAAAATAACATTTGGCACATTTCCCCTGAACATTTATACCAACGACTCAATAGAGTGTTTCAATGTATCTCAAACCACAAGCTAACTGCGTTTGTCTTCTGTTTTGAAGCTATGGGTCATACGGCGGTCAGCAGAGTGGACAGGTAAGACCCTTTCCCAATTTACCACCAGCCTGTTTGCTGTAATCTTTATCATTCAATTTTGTTGTTTTTTAAAAATCATAATCTGAAAACCCAAGCGTTCTGATTGACAGGGTTATGGACAAGGAAATGGACAGAGTTACCCTGGCTATGGACAGCCAGGTGCAGGCGCTGCACCAGGCGCTGCACCAGGCGCTGCAACACAAGGTACGGTCATGTCTACTGTGTCAATTTGCTGAACAGCTTTGAATAATACATTGCGATAATGCATCTTAAGTCATTAAATTCTTGCTCAAAATGTAAACCTTTTTCAGTCCAAACTATGAGAATATCTCTGATGGAATTTGTTCAGTTAAATTGAAAGTTGTATATTCATGGTGTTTTCAAAAGTCGTGTTCAGATGATATTTGTTAATGTGAAGGTATACAAATAGAAAAGTACAATAAATAGAATTATACAATTGATCTCAAAGAAGTATCTTTCTCACTTGTGAATTGTCTTTGTCAGGAGGCTATGGCCAACCTCCTCCGGAACAGAGCTTTGATGCGTACGGGCAAGATTCCTCTGGGTAAGACCTTTTCTATGTCACAATAGCTTAGTAACATGCATTCTCACCTATAATTGATCTAGCATTATTGAACAATACCAGAAACGACTAATTAATGACAACTTCCTGTCTTACCGTTCTGATCAAAGATGAAAATGACCAATTGAGACCAATATTTACAACTTAGTTTTTTGCTCAAACCACTTCAAGGTATGGCAACAAATCGTCGTCTTACGGGCAGCAAAGCTCCTATGGCAGCCAGGCTCCAGGTGGAGACAGCTATGGACAGAGTTCCTATGGAGGCCAGAGCCGAGGAGGACCACCACCACCAGCAGCAGCAGCACCCGCAGCACCAGGAGGTGGCAGCAGCTATGGTAGATGGAGCGAAGGTAGAAATAACTTGTGTTCATGTTGGGACTACTTCTGTTGTCTGGAAGCATTCACAAATCAACACAAATGTGCTCACGTGTACATAGACAATTACTTTTCTTTCAAGGAACTATATATGTCATACAGGGCTCGACATTATAAATGGCCCGCTTGCCCGGAAGCACTATTTAGACACCCCGGGCCAGCATAACGTACTTTCCACTTGCCCGCTCGGGCCACTAAAAATATTGCTTAAAAAAAAGAAAAATTGTCCTGTGGTATAGGTACTTTGACAAGCAATGTTGTTAAATTGTTTCGTTTATTAACGCTACAANGCCCGGAAGCACTATTTAGACACCCCGGGCCAGCATAACGTACTTTCCACTTGCCCGCTCGGGCCACTAAAAATATTGCTTAAAAAAAAGAAATTGTCCTGTGGTATTGGTATTTTGACTAGCAATTTAGTTAAATTGTTTCGTTTATTAACGCTACAAGGTTTCGTGAGGCGGTTGTCGTTGTTGGGTGAAAAGCAAACAGCTGTTTGCTTCGAAGCGCAGCGCGAGCAGACTCCCAATCGCGCCACTCAACCATTCGCCAAAATGATTTTAATACCAGCGGTAACCGGCCAAGCGCCGGGCAAAAAACAATCTTCAAATAAAAGAAAGTCACCGGAGGAGTTAAAGGAGAGTGACAGGGAGTATGAGAAGAAGAGGGAGAGAAGGTTTTAGCCAGCTTGATCGATGGAGTTGGCTTCTAGTGGTGCAGTGACGCGTCCTAAAACCCTTTTATAATCTATCGATTAGATTTATGATTCGAAAATTATAAAAGTAGGGTAGACATGTGGAGATTATCCGGCTGAACAAAACGTGCATTTATCAAACAGGTTTGTTTTTCCACAGACCTTATTTCCAGCTAT